CCCCCCCCCCCCCCCGGGCCCTCCCGAGGCGGCTGCGGCGGTGGTAGCGGGGGGTGGGGTGGAGGCGGCCCGGGAGGGCCCTGTTGCGCTGCAGCCCGGCTCGGTTCGGGGGGGGGTTGGAAGCGGTGAGGGCTGCTCCGGTGCTCACCGGAGAATCTCCGCCGCCGTCGCCTCCCCGGGGGGTTTTATAGGGCTGGGAGCCGGCGGAGGGGTTTCAGGAGCCGGCGCCGCCCCGACGCGGGGCTGAGGACCCCCCCGCCCCAGCCCTCCCGGTATCTCCGGCCGCTGCCCTCCATCTCTCCATCCTTCCATCCCTCCCCGGCACGCTCCTCCATCCCCGCATCCCTCCCTCCATCCCCCCATCACGCCCATCCGTCCGTCCCTTCCACTCCCCCCACCTCAGCCCCCCGGCTCCCAGCTCACCTCCCCGCGTGCAGCGAGGCGCTTTGGAGGGGGGGGGCTCGGTGTCAGCGAGCTGTCAGCCCCGGGCACCCCAGCTCCGCTTCGCTCCGGAGGGGAAATGCAGCCCGGAGCCGCCTGCGGATCTGAAGCCAGCTCTTGGCAGAGGCTCGAGCAGATCCCATCCCTCCCTGGCTCGCAGTCCCTCAGGTCAGGAGAGAGCGACCCCGGGTGCGGGCCGGTGGCTGAGGGGGGAGCAGGGCAGCGCAGGCAGACCCGGCCCTCCTCCCCTCCCACGACCACCCCTCCCCGATCATCCCCGCTTCGCCTTCTGCGGGAAACGTCTCCCCTCCCCGGAGCTGTGCCCGCGGGTATCGCGGGGCACCGACCACCCCCTCCCCCCAAAGCCCCTCCCTGGGGGGGCTCTTCCACTCCCTTGGGGGCCGGTGAAGCTCAGCTCCATCTCCTGGCGCTGGGGAGGAGAAGAAAGGAACAAACCTGTCGCCAAGGCGAAGACCCCCAGGGACCAGGAGCTGCCTGCGCTGTTTACTCCAGCAGTGGCAGCAGGGGATGCAGGTGGGGGCTTTGGGGTCATGGGTAGGGTCAGAGTCTGACATGGCCACGCTGGTGGGGGTGGAGGGCTGAGATAGGGGTCAGTGGCCGAGTAACAGCATCCTCAGTGCGGAACGAGTTGACCACAAGTGGGGGACGCTGCCCCACTCCACCATCGTTTCCCCACTCTGCAGGGGGTCCCAACGGGGTCCCAGCTCCCATCTCACCCCTTGTCCACCTCTGTCCCCCCCAATGCCACGCACACCCCTTGGGCTGGGGGGACACAAACACTCCATCCACCCCAAAGCCACGATGGCCATCGACACCACGCTTAAAACCTTACCCCCAAAAAGCCCAGCTCCAACTGTAGCTGCAACCCCACAGCTTCCAGGGTCGGTCCTGAGCGGGTGGAGGTTGGCACAGCTCCACACCCAAACCACCCGGGGCTGCACCAGCAGGGGAGCACGGAGCCTGAGGGAGAGCCGTGCTGGAAAAATCGAGCCTTGCATCACCAGGCAGGCAGTGCTGCTCAGCTCCTCATCAGCAGTAATGCGAGTTTGGGCAGGAGGAAGGAATGCTGCGACCTGATGCTTGTATTTTATGTGGCCACTCTCATCCCCAAGAGATCACAGTGCTCCCGAGTGGGAGGGGGTGGGCAGGCAGATAAATGGGTTGGATCCAGGGAAGGAATGGAGCTTTTAGCCAGCAGCACCCGCCCAAAGCTGGCGGCTCTGTAAATATGCCTTCAGATTTTTAATGTCCAGGGGAAAGAAAGAGAGAGAAGGAGGGGGGGGAAGAAAGAGGAAGAAAGACAGAGAATAGAAAGAGCTTGATGGAGAAGGTCCTTTTTGGAACTGCAGGGAGTCGCTTCTGCAGGGACCTCCCTCGTCCTCACTGTGGGGTTGAAGGCTTCTCAGATTACGTCTGGGCGAGGGACAGAGCAAAGAGCAGGAGCACGTGGAGCACCAGCATCAGCCCAGGAGGCAGCAGCCTCTGGGAGGGGTTCGAAGGTGAGGAATGGGGTCCCCAGGTTCACCTGGTGGTCTCTGCTCTGCCTCCCCATGAATAGGGCACATCCCCACACACGGACCAGCACAAAGGCTGGAGGGAGCTCAGAGGGTTCATGGGCCAAAGGAGAGGAGGGGAAGAGGTTGGGAACACGCAGCGATCACAGAGGAACAGGGGAGGAAGGTGAATTTCATCTCAAATTGGGGACAGCGGATCCTGCTTTGGGGGAAACAACAGCCAAACCAACCCTGCTCATCCTTCACCATGGATCTGCGACCAAAAGCACATCGACCTCAGCAACCCGCAGGAGCCCTGCCCTCTCCCCTTCGTTCTCGGGGTGGGACGGCTCAGCCCAGGGGCTGACGGGGGGGGCTGTGAGGTCCTTTCCCGTGCTGTGATCCGGTGATGTCCGTGGCGGTGGCGGTGCCCGCGTCGCTGTCACACAGTGCCACCTCGTGGGTCCCACCCGGCAGGAAAGCCGGGCAGGCGGCTCCACCTGGTGCAGATTTTCGCTCCGCAGAAGCAATTCGGGGGCTGCAGGAGGTCGGGTTGGAGGGGGAGCGGCGAGGATGCTCCCGTTGCCTCCATCCGGAGCTGCTGACTGCACGCAGTGCCTCCGTTTCCCAACTGGAAGACTTAGGGTAAAGCCTCGGGTTCACATCTGCATCTCATTCTCCAGGGCTGCCGGGAGGTGGGATACCCAAAAATCGGCCCCCCATCCCAGCTGTTCATCCCACCCCGCTCTGTGCCTCACCATCAAAGGGAATTCTCCCTCATTTTATCGAATTTAACATTTCTCTGCCGGTTTTTTTCTCCCAACCCCGCACAGATTCTGTTTCCACGCACCTGTATTGCACAGAGCACCTACAGCAGGAGGGGAGAGGGGTTCAAGTGCCCTCCCAGCCCCATTCTCAGCACTGGGATTCCCCCAGGGGGAAAGAAACCATATTCCTGGTTCTTTCCTATGGCAGCAGCTCTCCCACCCCGTGCCATAGCTGCCATCCCAAAGGCACACCAGCGCCTGCTGCACTTTGGGTTTCCTTGCTGAGTGTGTTTTTTCAGGCAGCTCTGCTGGGAGAGGAAGAAATCAAAGCTCCCCCACCTCCCAGTGCTGTGGGGTGGGCTGGGGATGAGGCAGCAGCACAGCAGCCAGGAGTGGTATTGCAGGGCCTTCAGCATCACCCCAGGCTTTAAGGGGGGGCTGCACCCATAACCCCACATCCCTCACTGGAGGTGGCTGTGGGGGAGCTGGGAGCATGTGCTCCTACAGAGCTGCCCTTTGGCTCCTATTGTCCCAACCCTCATCCTGCAGGATGTGCTCTGCTCCCGCTCCCATGCGCCGTCCCCTCATCTCCAGAGGACGTTCAGCAAACCTGTGCGACCCTTCTGTGATGCCACCTCACCCTCAGCGTGAGTGCAGTCACAGCCAAGTGCCCCCATGGTACCCACACCGCTGCACGGCTCCTCTGCTCCCACCCATCCTCCCCTCTTTCAGCTCTCCAGGGCTGAACCAGCTAGGGGAACTACAAAGATAGGAGGGGAGACGCAGCCCTGCTTCCCATGGGGCTCAATACTGAGCCAGTACCCAACAGCTGAAGTAACTGGAGATCCCTGATCCTCCTCCAGCTTCCCAGTACTCCCAGTGCTCTGGCTGAGCCACCAGCACGTCAGCAGGGCACAGCAAGAGGAGCAGATGTCTTACCAGTCTGTGTGCCCCATCCAGTGCAGGTTGAGCTGGTGCAGGATGGAAGGAATCGCCCCGAGTGAGGTCCACTGCTGGATGGAGGCACAGAAAGGGCTCAGAGAGGAGAAAAGGAGACAGAAGGATGAACAGAGGTGACAGGACAGGATAGAGGCATTGACACCCATAGGTGCTGACAGCCCTGGTGCTCTCTGCAGCCCCACAGGGACCCACAGCCCACCCCAAGGAAGGAAACAGAGGCAGAAAAGAGGCTTGGTAAGAACAGACTTTTAATCAGACTCCATCACAGCCATTACAGGGCTTTTCTCACCTGCTGAGGAGTCCGGCCGGCACAGCAGGAGTGGTAAATACACCGGCTACGAGGATACATGGGACGAGTTTCTATCAGATCTGTGCTTTTACCTGTACAGGAGGGCTTGGCCAGCATTGTGCTTACCCACAGCGGAGCAGCCCGTGTGCTGCAGGGGCTCTGCCTGAACCTGGCTGCATCCCTGGGGGTTGGCAGAGCCACCTGGGCACCTGCACACCCCGCTCCTGCTGGTGAGAGCCGGGGTGGAGGGATGAGGGAGGCAGTGGGAGCAGCTCAGGAGGAGCCAGGGGGAGCTGCAGGGAGGGCAGGAGGGGAAGCCCTTCTCCATAGTGGGGCTCCTGATCCAGCCCTGCTCTGAGCAGTAGGATCTGGGCTGGGAAGGAAGGGGAGAGCTGGGGGTAGGGAGGGGAGTATTGGCAGCATCCACCCCCCCCCTTGCTCCAGCCGCCCAGAGGGAAACTGGAAAGTGCCTGTGCTGACAGCTAGCAGCTATTCCCTGTGCCTCTGCGGGGAGAAAACAAACCAAAAGTGATCGCCAAGGCTAAAAGTCACTGGGGATCGACCCCAGGAAGGTGAACGGGGGGGAGAACCAGGGGGAAGAACCCCCCCATAGGCTCCCAAAGTGACCGAGTACAGCTAGAAGTGACCCCGAAGGCGAGAGCAAGGCGCACACCCCACACACGGCGTGACTGACAGACAGACACACGCACACAGCGACGGCACGGAGCACCCACAGCTTCACACCCCCCCACCCCATCCACCGACCCCCCCAACACCGAGCAAACACCACGAGAAATACACAACCTCCACGGATAAAAAGAAAGGCGTCCTCACCTCCCCCCCCCCCATAACCCCCACCTCCCCTTGATGGGGGGTCTGGGGTTGGGGGGGGGGGGGGACCACACCCAGCCCCCCACCCACGCCCGAGAAATAAAAAGGTAAAAATCGGTCCGATATACGGTGAGAATTGATCTGTACAGCACTGGGGGTGAAAACAGGGTCATGGGCCACTTTGTCATTGAACAGCATTTACAGTGACATTTACAGAATAAATATACAGTAGAAATAGAGAATCTGTGGGTTATTACTCCATCTCCTCTCCTCTCCTCTGTTTTATATATATATATATATATATATAATATAGCTTTCTTGTTACCTTCCTATTGGTTTTGCCTCTTCTTGGTGCTGCAATAAGAGGGGTGGGAAGCGAACGCCTCCCTGCCCAGTTTGGGGCTGGCAATGGGAGGGATGGGGGGACTGAAGTGTTCCCCCAAGGGCTCGAGGAGCATCGCAGCACGGCAGCAGATGGGACCTGGTGAGGTGCCCTGCTCCCCAACTCCATGGGAGCTGCAGTGGGGATCCAGCCCCTGGGCTCAGTCACTGCCACTGGGAAGGTGACACTGGGCAGCGATGGGGGAAACTGGGGACACAGGGAGGAGGAGAGGTGGGAAAAAGGGGTTTTGTGCTTCTCCCACTTGGAGGTGACGCAGTGGGGACATCTCTGTGTCCCTCCGCAAGGGCAGGAGGAGGGGAAGGTTAACCTGGATGAGGGCTGGAGTAGAGGTGGGAGTGCAGCTGATCCTGGGGCTGGTGCTTCCTCTGCCATCAGCAGGGCGAGCTGCTTTGGTTTGGTCCCCATCTTCATTTCCCCTCTGGAAAAACAGCTAACGAAGGGCCTGTGCTAATTGCCCAGTAAGACACTCCAGCTGAGCCCACGATGAGAAGGACTGTAAACACAGCATCCCAAACCAGAGATAGACAGGTGGGAACCTCCCAAACCTCCCACCTGTGGGTGGGCAAGCAAGGCTAGAGGGGCTCGTGGGCATGGGAGCCAGGAACGTGGCCTGCAAAAGTGTTTGAAATGCCCCCAGATGTGATCTCAGCCCAACAGGACTGGAGTAAGGAGCTCACTCAGCTTCTGAGACCATAAACAAGGCGCTGCTCCCCTGCGCCCACAGGGAGAAAAGAAGGAACGGTTGCTTCAGGCTGTACTGCCAACAGAAATTCTTGGCTTTGTGTTTGATTCAGGGAAACCTTCAGCGTCAGAGGGAGAAACTCAGAACTGGGAAAACCCAACCGACCTTCCTCACTCGCACAGGCTTTGCATCCATGCGCTCCCCAGGCAGCGTGGAGAGGCACCACGGAGGGTTCAGCAGCCTGGATGCAGCTCACGGGGATGCTGGGACCCAGTGCCTGCTGCTCAGACATATCCTTCCATCCGCCATCCCCAAAAGCCAGCTCACCTCCCACAGCCCAGGGCAGTTTCCTGAGAGCCGAATCAGGGCTGCTGTAGGACCTGGTACCCCACAGCTCCACATGCCTACAGAAAGCAGCAAGAGGAGATGACCACCACGCCAGGGACAGTGGTGCAGTAGAGCATCCCATAGGTCCGGGGCCATTCCAGCAGGGCGCTCCCTGCTCCATCCCCACTGCCCTTCTAGACCTCATATGAAATCCCTTATTTTGGAGGTGCCGCCCAGTAGATCTGCCTGCCCACAGCCCGTGCCATCCTGACATCTCAGAGCACACATCACCCCCAGCACACCTGGGAACACCCTGCAGACCCCGTCCCTGTGCTGGTGGTGATGGGGCAGCCTCCAAAGAGCCGCCGGCTGCAGTCCCACACATCACCATAACTCAGCCCCGCGCCGCTCCCTGCCGACCCTGGCCGAAACACTGGGGTTATCTGAGTGTGTCCACAGCTAGAAAAACTACAGGAGATACAACAACAACAACGATGGCAACAACGGCAGCACCTTTTTGCGCTATGAACATCGACGGTTAATTGTGCTCGTTGGAATAAGGCCATGACTCCTCCCAGCTAAAGGGCAACAGACGAAGGGCAGAGCGCTGGGCTGCAGGAGGAAGCACGGCTGGCTTTCCACCTGACGCCAGGTCCTTTTTCCAACCACCAGCTGCTTGAAAAGAGAGATTGGAGCTGCGAGAGGACAACCCTCGGAAAAGCATCGCAGCATCCCTTGCTCCTCCCTTCCCTAAGGCGAGCCCCAGGTCCTGCCCTTTGCTGAGGGCTGTTGGAGGAGTCCTGCCCCTCCCGCAATCCCTTCATCATCGTAGGAACGGCTGCTTTTGGTTACAACTTAAAGAGGGGTTTCTTCTTTGATAGTTTTCCCGTTGCCTGGACAGCCAGGATCCACTCCCCACGACCTCTCCTCTCCCGGGGGGTGGTCAGCTGCCCAGCATCACAGTTCAGACTCGGGGGTGCCGGCCGTCAGGTACCCGCTCCCATAGCGTCCGTTGGGCGCGCTGCTCATCTCCATAGGGGAGTTGCTCCCAGGCCCCAGGTAGGAACGGTGGGTGGGCATCGGGGATGGGGTCTCGCTCGGCACCTTGCTCAGGATGAAGCGCGTCTCGTCGTTGTCTTCCAAGTTGGAGATGTCCTTCATCATCCGGCCCTTCTTGTAGGTGACCGAGAGGGTGTTGGAGCCGTCTGACACCAGGTGGAACTGCCGGAGGATGAAGACCAGAGGCAGAGGGAGGGAAGCCAGGATGATCAGGGAGATGAGGATAGCCATGGCCCAGGTTGGGTAAAAAAGGAACTTCTCTGCAGCCTGAAAAAGAGAGAGAGATTGGTGTCAGGGAGCTGCGACGCACGCCAGGTCCAGCATCTCCTAAGCGCTCAGAAGCTCCTGCCAGCCTTCATCTCAGGAAGTTATCAGATGGCGAATCAAAGTGGATAAAAGAGCACGCACTTTGGTGGAACCAAGACAAAGCCAAAGGGCACTCTTCAGCCCGTGCTCCGAGCTAGCTCAAACCTTCTGGGCAGCAGGGAAAAACAACGGCCAAGAGGGTGGGATGCGTCCCAGCTGGAGGAATAAGCAGAGCTGGGGTGGGAACCCTGCTCACCTCCTCTCTGATCCACGCGCTGTAGCCTGGGGGGCTGACTCCCAGCTGGATGATGCTGGCAGTCATGAGCACGGCCATGCAGATGGGAGAGACGTACTTCCAGGTGTAGTAGTAGAACTGATAGGGCCGAAAGCCCAGCATCTCTGTCAGTTCCTGCATGAACCTGCCGAGAGGGAGAGATGGAAACACACTGCTCCCCACCTTCCAGCAAGAAACTCCCTCCCAGGAGCCCTGCTGCAGATTAGACTCAAAAAAGAGCCTGGGGAAGAGCCCAGCTGAGCCAGGAGATCATCGCAGTCTTTCAAACCCATGGGATGGGTTGGGAACCTCCCATGGAAAAGGTCACCTGGGCCTCCCTTGCTCTGGCCAACTCCTGACAACGAGAATAGGAACAGAGGGAATGAGGCGCCCTTCCAGAACGTTCCAGAAACCTCAGATAAGACTATAATGACAAGCAACGGAGCTCCACAACCAAAGCAAGATACCCATTAGTGGGACTTGTTCTTGGTGCTGGGTTACAGCTGGGGCAGGGTAGAGGATCAAGGCAAACAGATCTCCTGCCTTCAGGGTATTTGCTCCATCAGAGCTTGCCTCTTGCAAAATCAGGACAGAGCTGGAAGGCGGGGGGGTTTTAGCCAGCAGTTACAGCCAAGAAATTCCATTTGTGGCGCCAACACCTTACTTCTTAGTGCCGTAAATCCAGGCCACGGCGATGTTCTCCAGGATGACCACGACGGTGAGCGGCAGCGTGGCTGAGTAATCATCAAACATGGTGACAAAGTAGTTCCCAGAGCGCTGCACGAAGATCAGGCCCACCACAAAGGCGAAGATGCAGCAGCCAACTGTGGGGAGAAAGATGGGCGTAGGTTAACAGAGCGCAGATGCTGATGTGCCACTGGTTGAATGATCCTAGTGGCCGTTCCCAAACCTAACGATCCCATGGTCCTGAGGGTAACTGAGGCCTCTGCCACAGGGTCTGATCCCACTACACGTCCACATGTCCCCGCTCTTCTAGAATGACAGTGGGGACCCTCCAGCCCCAACCCAGGAGGATGCAGAAGACCTCACCTGTGAACACCTCCTTCCGCACCTTGAAGGTGTCGATGATGGGGGTGGTGATGCCTGACATGGTCCCGATCATGCTGCCCAGCCCCAGGTTTATCAGCATCAAGAAGAACATGACAGACCAAAACGGCGAGGCTGGGAAGTGGGTCATGGCTTCTGTGAAGGCGATGAAGGCCAGGCCGGTTCCTTGCACTGACTATTTATGAGGGGAAAAAAAAAGACCAAAAAGGATGAAGAAACGTGTCAGGCTGCGTGTCTCAAGGCTCTGTCGTCCCACTGAACAGCTCCTCAAGGAAAGAAAAATCCACCCTAACACCTGGTGTGGAAGTGGCAGTGAGCCTATTAGACTTGCTACCAGGAAAGACCCCAGGAACAGGGAATTCCCATCCTTGGAGGGTCACTGGAAACAGTTTTTCCAGATCTGTGTGCCAGGAGCAACACAAACAGCTCCCAGCAGGGACTGCCAATGGGCAAAGTGATTTCTCTGTCCCATTGGGAATGCCGTGGGGTACCTTGTCCAGCTCATCCTCCAACAGACACGCGTCCAAGCCCAGCTCTTTGAAGTGCCCCTCTTTCACCGTCATGATCACCCTGTACATCTCGTTGTAGTCCTTGGCTGTCAAGTGGGAGAAGTTCACGTGGGGTGGGATGAGGTCGTGGCTGAGCACGTTGGTGTTCAGGTATCCCAAGATCTTCTCAGCATTCCTAAGGGGGAGCAGAATCTGGTCACCCAGAGACGTCCCCTTCCATCCAGTGTGAGAACCTGTAGACCATAGTTCCCAACCAAAGCCAGAAAAACTGTGCCCTCAGCTACAGGGGGGCACCTCTGGAAATCCAGATCTTGATCACAAGCAATCTGGATGTTAAAGATAATCTGTAAAATCTGATTAAAGGCTGGATGTTGTGTTGAGGGACGTGGTTTAGTGGGAGCTACTGGGAATAGGCGAACGGTTGGACTGGATGATCTTGAAGGTCTTTTCCAACCTTGGTGATTCTATGATTCTATGAATCTGGGTCCTCCAAAACACAGCATCACCCAGTCCTTGAGCCACAGCCCCGCCAGCACAGGTTTCTCCCCCCCCCCCCCAGATGGACAGAAAGCAAATCCACCTACTCCACCACGCATTTCTCATTCATGATGTTGGCCTTGAAGCCCAGCACGGCGAACACAACCAGGGTGGCCAGGACAGACGTGAAGAAGTTGATGAAGGAGACGAGCGTGGCGTCGAAGTGGCAGTTGTTGTCCTGCTTGTTGTAGCTGGAGAAGGCGATGACCCCCCCAAAGCCCAATCCCAAGGCAAAGAACACCTGCGTGGCTGCCTCCCGCCACACCTGGGGGTCCAGCATCTTATCCAGCTTGGGGAGAGGGGACACAGAAAAAGGAATGAGGGCTGGTGGTGGTGCCAGAGCCGTTCCATCCTCCAGAGCCTTCAGGATTGTTTAACCCCAGACCTCGGCCCCCCTCCCCTGCAGCAGGCTGCGGGCCTCCGAGAGCCGTTCATCAGGAGATCCTAATTAGTATCTTGTAACAGCCTCGCCAGCAGAGCTGTTTCATCTGCATCGCTTCATCATTAATTAATTAGCTCGTTAATTGCATAAACACCAGCGGAGGTTTCGCTACCAGCCAGCATGATCTCACAGAGCCCCTAAGCCCTTCTATAGATGCATTGCTGAGGGTCAATCCCCTCCCCTTGCCCACCCAAAGGGAGCAGGAGTGATGCCTCGGGCAGTGCCATGATAACCACCTCAGGGCTGTAAAACCTCCTGCCTCGTTTATTGGGACCTTTGAGGCCGATTTTTTGGGGTGGAAACAAGAGAAAAAGAGGATTTGGTGAAATGATGTGCACAGAGGGTGAGCAGCCCGGAGGATAAACCTGCTGGGAGTCTGCTGAGTTCTTACCTTGGGGGTGAACATGTGCATGATCCCATCCACCGCCCCCCGCAGCAGGAGGCCCCGCACCAAGAAGCAAACCAGCACCACGTAGGGGAAGAGGGAGCTGAAATACATCACCTGGGGCAAGAAGAATGCATGCAGGGTGGGCATCACCTCCCTTACCGCTCAGCCCCGTCCCCACATCCATCCCCAGGACATCACAAACTGGAGACAGAACGCTGGTGCCAGACAAGCCCTGGGGAAGGACAGCTCTGCATCCCCACCACCTCCCAGCACCACTGGTTCCCAGCATGGGGCTCCCTCCCAGTGTCCCAGTGATGTGAATGGGGCTTCCTCCTGGGCACAGGGGGTGTGATACCACCCCACTGCCACGGGGCAGCGGCCTGCTTACCCTGTGCTACCCGCTGATGTGCCCTGTAAAACATCTGGCACATCTGGAGACGGGTTCCATCTGAACATCACAGAAAACCAACTCATCTGGAGCACGGATTGCTGCTACCCACCTTCCCCGAGGACTGGATGCCTTTGATCATGGCCAAGCCAACGAGACTCCAGGCCACCAGCAGGCAGAGGGTCATCTTCCAATTGAGTCCCCCACTCTCTGAGATGGAGTTGGAGATGTCCAGGGCCTCCCGGTACCAGAAGTAGGTGGTGGCCGAGCTCCTCTCACATTCAGTCTCCACAACTGCAGATGAATGGGGGTACCAGAGAGTGAGGGGTTGGGGAAGAGCCACCAGCTGCCTCTTCTCACTCTGTCCGTGTCCCCATCCCAACCTCCAGTGTCCCCAGCCTGCAATAGCTGAAGGTTTTGAGGGTCTCTGGTGTCCCACAGCCCCACTCCCCATCATTTACCCCCATATCTCACCGGCCACGGAGCCATTCTTGACAATGGGGCACTCGCTCCAGGGAAGAGGGTACTGGAAGGACTTGAAGAAGTAAAAGATGCTCCAACCGATGATGACGTTGTAATAAAGACCGACAAAAAAGCAGACCTGTGTTGGGGGTTGAGGAGGACACACTGTGAAGCAGTGGGGGCAGTGCTGGTGTTCCCATTGAGTGGGGATCCAGAAACATGGATGGCCTCATTCCCAAACCAGCCCTAAGCTCACGGATGGAGCTGAAAAACTCCACTCAACCCTTCAACCTCCCACACTGGGCTCAGTGAGGTTTGCCCCAGGCCATCCCCCGTTTGCAGCCTGCAGAGCATCCCACCAACCCCAATGCATGCTCACCAGGCAGCTGGCATAACCGATGCCACCGAGGCGGGGACAGATGTAATTCCAGACACCAATGCTGCCCCGACGGATCCGCTGCCCCACTGCCAGCTCCAGGAAGAACAGCGGGAGGCCAATGATGATGAGCAGGACCAGGTATGGGACCAGGTAGGCGCCTGGCAGGGACAGAAAGCTTGTCATGGACCCGTCCACCTGCTCTTATATCCCAATGAGGGACAGGCTGTGTCTGGTTCGTCACTTGGTTTGCAACAGAAAACACACGTGCGTGGCAGGGAACCCTGCTGCATCCCCTGGCACTGTGGGAATGTGCAGGATATGCGAGCTCTCTGCTAGGGGTAAAATGGCTCGGAACAGAAAGGAGGTTAATCTCCATCTAATTGGGGAGACCAGAGAGAAATTAGCAGTTCATGAAGCATAACCAAACGGCTGTAAAAGATGCGATGACTCACGCTGCAGCGCCCGGCTGATGGATGGCTCCAGCCTCTGCCAGGGGCTGCCGGGCAGCACTGGGAGCACGTGGCTGCAGAGCTGGGATTTATGGCCCAGTGACAGCCACCAGCGCTGGGCCAGGGATGGATGGGGCCAAGAATGCATTTGGAGCAGAGGTGAGGAGGCTCGTTAAGGAAGAGGTTCATTAAGGAGCAGGAAAATGGAGATGCAGGCAGCCGGGGTGCAGCTGGACACTGGTGGAACTGGGAACACCCACAAGCTTCCCATCCCTGCAACACCCTCACGGGCATCTCGACCTCCAGACGATGAGACAGATGGATCCGTTTGGATGCAAACTTCTCCAGCATCAGAGATTTTCCTCCCCTGACCCCTGGGAGGACGGCCACCAGCTCATGCCCATGCGTCATCGCCAGCACACGCGGCTCCCAGCACACCGAGTGCTGGGGATTTGGCTCAGGCCCATCTCACTGCCAGCACGAGGCTGTTCTCCCCCACAGATGTCTGCTTGGAGAGCAGGAAGGAAGCAGCCATCCCACCCTGCGCCGAGCAGCTTACTGCTGTGCCAGCCAGCTCCCAGCTCCGTGCCTTGGTACCTGGAAACCTGCTGCAGGAAGCTGTCATATGGCAGCAAGGGGCTTCTCACAGCATCTGCTCATCCCAGCAGTGCCCCTTCGTGCCCCTGCATCCCAGGGATGAGATAGATGACTGTGTGTTGGGGGGCTGTCAAACCCAACTTGACCCCATTACAGCAAGTCTCGTGGCTGCTGAGGGTTCCATTCTCTTATATGGGGAAATTGAGGCAGGGTGGCTTCAGAGAAGCCTGGCATCTGACCTCCCGCTCAGAGCTGGCTCCTGATTCCATCTATCTGGGATGAGCAGGAAATCACAGATGCAGAGAGCTCCCTACCAAAGGAATCAGGGTTTCATTGCAGCCCTGAACGTACCAGTAGGCTTCACTTTGTTCTCAGGGCAGGCAGGTGAGCATCCTTTAGGAAGAGGCTGCCCTGGAGGTTGCTGCAGCTCTGCACCACAGCACAGCCAGCAGCTCCCAGCTGCCCCTCACCTCCCAACCCACCCCCACTGCTCCCTCCACCCCCAGCAGAGGGAAGATCAGCCCACAGACCCCCCCTGGAATCCCATCTCTCACCTCCTCCATTCTTTTGGCACAGGTAGGGGAATCGCCAGACATTTCCCAGCCCCACAGAGTAGCCAATCTGGGCCAGGATGTACTGCAGCTTGCTATTCCACGCCGGCCTGTTCTCTGCATCCAGCTCCTCCTCCCCGTCCTTCTGCTTATCCCAAGCCTCCCCTGTCACGTTGAGGACGCTGCGTTTGTAGTCCACGGGCTCCTCGTGAGCCAGCAGGTCGGCCACTGACTCGGTGACATGCTCACTGCTGTGCTCCCGCTGTGTCACTTTGCTGTTCTTCGGCATCGGGACGGCTCCGTGCCACCCCAGGGGCTGGGATGGGGTGAAGGGAGAAGAGGAACGTCCCACGTGAGCTGCTCGGGGCTCACCTCCTCGTCATCAGCAGGACCTGTGTGAGAAGGATTCAGCAGCATGGTGGGGTTGGTTTCGCCTCATCCCGATGCTGTTGGGAGCAGCAGAGATGGTGGGGAGAGGTCACCATCACCCCCTGTGTTTCGGGGACATCCGTTGGGCTGGGGGATGCCAAGTGGAAGCAACACCCTGCTGCTTCCTCGCTGGGGAGAGTACCCAGGGGGCAGCACCCATGGGTGCAGGGAGATGGCGACAGAGCAGTCCCCTCAGCCCTGCACAGCCCCCCGGCTCAGTCCTGAAGGGCTACAGGGCTCAAAAGCACTTAGGTGACAGTGACAGAGGGCTCTCCATCCTCCTTGGATGGTATCAGGCACAAGGTGGGTGAGAGCCAGCAGCTAAATCACCGCAGGCAGCTCTATAGCAGATAACATCTGCAAAACAGCCACGGTGACACAAAGCCATCCATCGTCCAAGCCCTGCTGCCTTCCCAGCCTTGGCCTGGGAACCCAAGCCACAAGATCTGCACAGTCTGAGCACTGACACCAGGGATCTTTGGCCATACTGGGAGAACTGGGGCCACACTGACTCGCGCCCCAGCTGGAGGACAACCATAGAAACTCCAAGCCGTGGAAAAATGACTCTCTCCCCAAGGGCCGTGTTTGCTTCTGTCTTCCATCCTCCCTTTTCAGGGACATCAGTGTGACCACCAGTCCCCGTAGAAGCACTGGGGCCGTGCCCAGGGTCCCAAAGGCCCCCCGTGTTTCTCCCGAGCTTCTCCATTTACACAGACACCCATCAACCCCAGCCCTGAGCACAGCTCACAACCCTGGGCCCTTCCAGAGCTCAGCCAGGCAGCCCTTCTCATTCCCAAGCATCCATCCCAGTGCTGGAGGGAGGCAAAGCAGCAGGACAGCTCACCCTCCTCGCCCTCACCTCGCTGCTTCCTCACCCCAAAGAAAGTTCCCTGTGTGCCAGGCCCTGTTCCTAATAGAAAAGCTATTTTCAGTCAAAAGCTGCATCTGTTGCCAGGCAACTGCATCGCCTCACAGCCTTGGCTGGATCAGGCTCCTCCAAAGAAGCTGTTTGAATTATTCCTTCAAGCCTGGCCCAGCAGTGTTTCATTTCCTAACGAGGACCATTCGTATGAACCGTTCGCAGTTCAACAGCAGCAATTACCAGCACAGGGCTGCCCACAGCCAGAGCATCCCCAGCATGGAGGGTGGGGGGATCCCAAGGCAGGAAATCACAGAGATTCCCACTGAGTTTGGGTCGGGCTCTGCAGAGACGAGAGGATTTGGGGGGTGAAAAAGTGTGCTGAGCTGCTCTGCTAGGGCTGGGATAAGGGGCTGAGGCAGCACTGGAGGAGGAGAAAGGGGTAAGGAGCTGAAAGCTCTCCCCCTGTGTGAAGTCATATGGGAAAGCTGTGCTATAAGGATAATCTTCACCAGTGTTGCTGTCCCTGTGTCCCCACTGCTTGCTTGGGGACATCCTGCTGCTTCCCAGCCTGATGGCAGCAGTGCCCACTGGAGGAGACCCTGCCTATGGAGAGGGGTCTGCCACGATGCTCCCAGCCAAAGCGCAGCTCAAATCCACCTGCAAAAAGTACTTCTGCCCATGTGTTTGATTGGAAGGGGAATTTAATCAAGGAATTCATCTCCCAGAACAACAACAACAACAACGATGCTGCAAGGAAGGTCAGCTGACAACCAGGAGCTTCTTGGCTGCAGAAAGACAGAACCCCCTTGTAGCGGACAGATGGAGATTCAGCTTGTTGACGACCTTCACCTTCTCACATGGGAGGTTTTCTTGCTCTTCTGAAGGAAGATCACAGCCCACCAGTGGGTCTGGGTGCCTCCCCACGGCGATCATAGAGGGGTCCAGGAAGGCACCAGTACAAACTGGGAGGGCTGGGACAGCAACAGTGCCTGTGAGATGGGAGCAGCTGCCAGCACCCATGGGGAGCAATAGGGCGAGGAGCAGGAAAGAGCACCACTGCCTTGGAGATAACCCACCTCCCCACGCTCCTGCCATGGTTTTTCCACTTGCTGAAAACGTGATTGGAGAGGCTGGAATCAGTCAGCAGCAGTGGAGCTCAGGGCCCAGGGTGTGCGGGCACAGGGAAGCTCTCTCCTCTCTCAGGGACAGAGCAGCTCCTGCATCCGAATTCTGCACTTATGTTCCATTTAGGGGAAATTGAGGCAACAACAAAAAGAAAAGCCAGGCTGGGATGCAATGAATTCAAAATAATCTTCAAACCCTGCTCCCCCCACCAAGGTCACAGAGCACGAAAGGAGAGTGATGGATCCAGGCGCAGAGGGATGCCAGGGATGGATCTGAGGGACCCAAGCGCCCCCATCCTGGGACACTACACCGAGGGCTGAGCTTTATGCTGCAGATGAGGAGGGGACAGACCCAAGGTCACCCATGGGACCTGGGAAGCTCACAGAGAAGTGGAGGCACCTCTGCCATCTCCCTTTTGCACCCAGCAAGGCCGAGCAGCGAAGCCAAGAGGAGAGCAGTGGGGGACCTGCTGGGAACAGCATCGCTCTCCCACAGCCCCCTCCAAGCACAGCTCCCATCGCACACAGACCTGCCTCCATCTTAACGCCACTCCTGGCTCCCAAACCAGGAGACTCAGAGCTCCCGCTCGGCTCTTCCTCACCCTCCTCATCCTCTCCAGCTCCACGGGGGAAGGCTTTTGCCATCCGAGCTCATTAGGGTCGCTCCCTTTCTTTAAGCGAACCCTGCTAATTAGCTCCAGGCTCCGCCACCTCCCGGAGGTGACGCGCGGTGACTCGGTGGCAGCGGTCCCACATCACGAGGTCCCCCCCCCAGACCTCCAAACTCACACAGCGCGAAGGGAACACGCAGCCAGGGGTCAGCAGAGCAGGCCGAGGGGAAACGCCGCAGGGAGACGCGCTGGACCTCGGGCTCCCACCTTCGCAAGCAGTTTGCGTGCAGCCCCGCGGCGCTCAGCCGGCATTTATTGCAGGGGGGGAGGAAGGGGGGGGAGATGCTCAGAGCTGCGCTCCTCATTCAGGCTCGTTTTAGCGTCGTGACACAGGAGCAGTTCGCGTTCGAGGATGAATCAGAGCTGCCTCCGCTTCTGCCTTACACCCCCCCCCCAGCATCCAGGTGGTCCAAACAGCCCCCGGCCCCCTACGGGCGAGCAGACGCGTGCTTATGGCAGCCCTGCCGCCGTTTGCCACCTGCTCCACCCCGGAGGTGGGCACAATTCCCGCAGCCCCAGCTCTGCTTTCGTATCACTGAAGGGTTTAGAGCGAATTTTTATCAATGGATTCAGGAAAAAAAAAACCACAAAAAACCAAAACAGAAAGGGCAGTTTTGCGGGTGGGTCACGAGGCAGTCACAACAACCCCGGAGGAGGGGAACCTCGGCGCCGTCGGGAGCGTAGGAACCCATTGATTCTCCGCATTCCGTCTCCCTTCACGTCTCATTTGGGATCGGATGACATCCATCATCTGCAGCGGCGTGACACGGAGCTGCCGTCACGTGGTTCCTGCTCACGGGGTGATCCTTCCCCCCCCCCCAAACCCCCCACCTTCAGTTCCAGCTGGAGCTGCTGCCCCTCCGAACCCAGCTTCGCCCCGATCAGCAGCACGCAGACCCCGCTGTGGTTCACAAACCAACCGACCCCAAAACACGACCCCAGGACATTTCACCTCAGCACCGACCCGGTTCCATCGCATCCGTGCTGACCCCCACCTCTCTGCCATTCCAGGCTCTCACATCGCTTCCCCATAGCAACCAAACCCTTTCTTTTTTCCCCTATCGATGTCACCCCGACCGCCTCCGATTCGACCTGGAGGACGGACAGACCCGCATTTTATTTCCCTTCCTGACCCAATCCCGACTCCTCCGGGGAGATTCTGGCACTGAACTGCGCACCCTGCCCGGAATGGCTCAGTTTCACACGCGGCATTTCAGGTTTGTTCCTTCCGAGCCCAGAAATAGTTGCATCAGCTCACGATGGATCTCAATCTCAGGTGCCTCTGACGCCAGAAGCGGAACGATTTCACCTTCTGGGTCCTTTGCAAAGAGCTGGGAGAGGGTTGGTGGTTTTTTGTGGTTTTTGTTTTTTTTTTCCAGCCCCACATCTCCGGAATGACGCAAATCGTCCCCAAAGCGATGCAAAGCTGCACCTGGCCAAGATGTCAGCCCCAAACGCAGCCCCATACACACCTCCGGCACAGCCACGATGCAAGAAATGCACTGATGGGGGCAAGGACTCCCCACAACTCGACACAGAACGGCGTGAAACCAAAACCCCAACCCTCATTTTACTGCCTCGAAAGAAGCCGGCCGCGTTCCGAGGATTCAAAAGAAAAAGGGAAAAATCCCTTCACTTCGGGGGCCGGGTGTGAAACATTCATCGCAGCCCAATGCTTTCTCCTCTCCCAATGTTATTGTCAAGGTCAGCCTGGAGGCTCTATTTATAACCCTTCAACCCCCCCCCCCCCCTCCCCCCAGGCAGCAGCTGGGGGGGACGAACCCCAACCAACCCCCTCCATTACTTCAGCCCCCCCCC